AAACACCACATTTTTGTTTATTTCTTTTGGTGGGGGGGAGGGCGTGGGGAGATATCCTAAAGAGACTAAGTATATTACGGAAAGAACTTGTCTTTCTCCGCAGTCATCCACTGGTTCCGGAGACGTGCTCGAGTACATTTTGTCTGGAATAAACTGGATCCAGGCAGATTTATTAAGTATTTGTATACAGAGTAGCTGTGAGTCAGAATCGGAGGCTTTTGAAGTTCTTTCTCCCTGAATCATGGGTGCTCAATACTCGATCGCCATCTACTAGTTGATCGCAAATATAATGTGGGTAGATGGCACGGCGTTACAAAAAATAGACGTAAGCCTATCATCAATGCCGTCACTTAATTGATGTACAGCGCAGCCAATCAGGCGCAATCTTAGGTGTCAAGCGCATGCGCAAACAACTAAGCTAAGCGCAGCAAAACTGACAGGCTAAGTTATCGCCAAGTTTTCAACCTTTTTTTTAATCTCTTAAACGTAAGAAAGAGGATTAAAATGAGTGGGGAGCTGGACCAAGTAAGAAGACAAAAACGTATCACTTTCATACGGAATGGGAGATTCTGACACTACAAGCCGACATTCAGCTAAAGTCCACACAGTTCTGGAACTTTACAGAGGGAAAGTGCCCAAACATGAGAACATGTGCTACCTCCTGGACTGCATTATTCGGCTCTACTTGTTTATGGAGTCAGCCTTTTCCCACATAACGATCGTTAAGTCCAAGTCCCGTTCCACCACGACTGATGATCACTTGGAAGTGTGCTCGAGGCTGGCTGTCAGCAGCTAATGTCCGGACTGCATCCTTGGCTCATTCCATTCAGTGCAAGTCATCAGCGTAAACTCAGGTCATGACAAAATATGTACATAGTTAATTGTGTTGTGTTGTGCAATATGGACTCGTGTGGTAATGCAAGGTACATAAACATATTGTACATATAAAGAATTCTCAATGCATTTGTGAATAAACATAATAAATAAAAAATAAATTGTGTTTTGCATTTTTGTAGTTGGTAGATCATTTTGACTTGATCATTTTTTAAGTAGCTTGCATTTTGAAAAAGTGTGAGCACCCCTGCCCTGATATTCCACGTGAATTCTCACGTTCATTTTCTTAAAGCAGCAATGGTGTTTCAGACCATCTGCCAGCGGTCATACAGTGGTGCACTGGCTCAGAGCGTGGAGTAGTCGGCAGCCAGTTTGGACGCACGTGAAAAAAGTAACTGTGTCCTAGCCATGCCCCAGGCAAGTTATTCTGTCTCCGTGCCTCCGTTTGCTCAACTTTAAGATGAACTGCTAGATGTGAAGCGCTTGGAACATGGTCATGTATCCCTCCTGGGGGTAGGCGTTCTAACAGTTTCATATCCACTGTTTGTCCACGTCAGTAGCACACATATTTTCTGGATCACTCATGGTTCTGATTGTTGGCAGAGTAAATACTCTGTCATCTTTATGTGGTGCGATTTATTTAGTCGACTATGAATAGTTAGACATTCTTAAACCCACCACACTAAAAGAAACAGCTTTTGGCTAAATCCAGCATTAACTTCATGGGGTTATTGCTTACAACTGCTTTCTCTTTTTGCTCCCTAGTTGAATAAAAGGCATTTTCCAGGTGTGAGGGAGAGGAGTGGTTATGAGTTCAGCTATGATCCTCAGAGTGGACAGTTCAAAAGCCCACAGCAGCTCCTCAGGAGAAAGGCGGGGCTTTCTACTCCCGTTAGCGGTTACCATCTCAGACACTCACAGGGGCAGTTCTACTACCCTATCGGGTCGCCATGCATCAGAATCGACCGGTGGCAGTGAGGCGCGAGGGAAGAACACTGCATGGTCACTGAGCTTTCTGGAGGTTTGGGCCAGTCCAAGCCACGTTCGAATGGACAGACTCCACACCCCGTAGGCAGTCATCCACAATATTATCTCCCCACATACAAGTCCCACATAGACAGCTGCTCACTAACCTGGGTACCGGGCCTAACTTTAACTCTGGTCAAGCTTGGAAGTGGAACAGAGAATAGAGCTAGGTGGACACCTGTGGAATGAAACTCGAGGATCGCAGTGGAATCCCAGGGCTTGAGGGAAGCCCACTTCGTGGAGGGGAGGGGCAGGAAGTTACAGTACGCTGACTTTTCACTTCTAATATGCCCACCGTTAAGTCCCACCAGTGCATGCATTCTCAAAAGCATTATGTGTATCAGATGTCAGTAGGGGGCGTTAGATGCAGGGTGGCTAAGTCTCCTAAGAGATTCCAAAAGATCGCCGACTCCTCCCCACGGCTGACGAGGGTAGGCTGGCTGTCCTACCCCTTGGCCACAGGGCTTGTAGCCTCTGACTCAGCCACTGAGACACACACACAGAGGGGCTCAGCAGACTCGCCCCCAGAAGGCACCCTGGCGAACCCCCCACTAGAAACCGGTGGTTAAATGCACCGCTGCCAGCTTTCCTGGGTGTCGTGGCCGTGATGCCAACAATACATCACTTAAGATGTGTGAGGATTAACTTCGCTGTTCAAACGGTCCTCCGAGGCCTCCTTACAACGCCCTTTCCTCCCCTCCTTTCTTTCAAACGCGTGGAAAGCCAAATTGGAGAAAAAGGCTGCGTGATGCAGTGCCTTCTATCCAGCCACTTATCTGTGTGGCTGCAGGGTGGGCCCCGTGAGCCCCTAAGAACTGGATGGCAACACAAGGGGAGACAGCACGAAAACACATGCCAGGAGGGCTCCTGTGAACCTGAGAGTGAGGGACCAACGTGCCCTCCTGGGTCAGAACGAGGGAAGGGAAGGCCAGGCCACAAAGACAAGCTCTTCCCTCAGCCTTGGCAACAGAAAACACTCGCTGGTCAAAGACACCCATGGAGGGGCCCGGCGGCTGCGACGCCCCACCGGAGCTGAGTACCTTGGCGTTCAACAGCATGAAGAGGACGTGGTCCGGAGTTGCCTGGGCTCGCCACTGCAGAATCTCCGCCAGAAACTGGTGCTGCAGTCAGAGAGCAGGGGAAAGAATCCATCAGGCTCAGCAGCTTTGGAGGAGCGGTCCACCGATTCGGTGGTTCGAACACCGCCAGGGCTGACCAGCTTACCTTCCTCACCAAGTCGTTCTCTTCAATCTGCCCAAGATCCCTGCCTGCGGCCTGCGCAATGCGCTTCCCGGCGACCAGGTTGCCCACCAGCACAGAGGCCGGGCCCACACCTGTAAGGAGAGGCAGCCGTCAGCTCTCTGCAGACGACAACGCAGGCTGCACTTCAACAAAGCATGTCCGAGTCACCCCACACGGGTTCACACATCCATGCACCACCACCGCCCGCACCCCCTTAGAGGTGCCGGGAATTTCAGAGCCGGCGAGACAAAGGTTTCTAGCTGAGAGAAGCGGCCTGTGGTCACTTGAGTGAATAAATAATAGTGTCAGAGAGCGTGACGTGCAGAAGACCAGGAATTTGGGTGGGTTGGGAGGGTCTCCCTGGGAGCACAATGCTTCGCTGCCCAACTGGTGGCCTGACCCGTTCTGAACAATGAAATGTTAGGAGCAGAGACACCAACAGAAGCTTTAAATATGCTTGTGTAGTTTGGCTCCGCCACGGGCTTCTACCATCTGCCTTGAGGAAAACAGGGCCCAGGTAGCTGCTGGTTCCACGCTGACACACGTGAACCAGCTTGGACCCCATCCTGCTGCCTGGAGCCCAGCCCAGCTCAGCTGCTCCCGGGCAAGAGCGGCAGACCCACAGTCTCGGGAGGGAAGGAAGGGATGCTCTTCTGAGCCACCATGTCCATTATTTGTTACAGAGGATTTCTATAGCAATTACTCACCCACCAACCTCAAGGCAGAGAAGGGGGAAGCTGGGACCACAATGACTGAGGAGCCACAAACCCAGCCTGGGACTCCAGCCTCTGGGTTTCTTTCACGGGAGATAGAAAGAAGCTTGTCTCCTGTTTCAGCTGCAGTTGATAGTTTTCAGAGACACAGCTGAAGTCAGTCCTACTGCACACAGCTCCACTCTCTGCACACAGCTCTAAAAAGCACCACAGTGCAATGTGTGCCACTGCGTGGCCGTCACCCTTAATCCAATGTCCCTTTCCTCCTTACTCATTTCCACTCTTCTGAAATCCTCATCTCTCTGCTGCCCCATGTCAACTCTACCTCCCGTCTATGCTGCGAGTTCCCTTCTCTGATGCGTCCTGTTACAGCATTCGCAGACAATCACAACAGAAAACAACGTCCAAAGCATGCCTGTATCCGCGCAGCCGGCAGGTGCTGTCTTACGGGGGTTAGGGGTAATCCCTTTACAGAGGTGTCATCATTTAATACAATTGGTTGCGTTGGCGAGTCAAGCACTCTTTCTTCTTACCATCTGAGTTTTGTTGGGCAGATTCTAGAATGCTACTTAAACCACAATTTTACCACAAGGCAAATGAAGGCAGAACTTTGTGTAATAGGATTTGTGTGTTTTATATGTCTGTCATGTGCTTAAGTAGGTAATGTGTTACTTTCATACATTTCTTGATTGTACACCACAGGCTTTCTGGTTTGGTTGGCTTTTTGAAAGACAGGTGATCCTAAGCGCTTATTTCTACTGGCAGAATCTGATAACTCTCATATACTACTCTTAAGCTCAATGCGTAGTAATACTCAGATAACGCAAGCCAATGAGTTGACCTAACATCTGGATCAGTGTTCCCCAGAGTGGGTGATATCGCCTCCTGGGGGTGAGCACTGGAATGCTAGGGGCGGGTGGGTGTCGTATGGGGAACTGCAAAAGCAGATACCTACACTTTATCCTCGGTTAGGGGCTAGAGTGGAAGTTTTACTTGCCAAAGGGCTGCTGGGTAACTTTTTTCTTTCTCTGAAAAGGGGTGTATGGGTTAAATAACTCTGAAGACCTAGGGTCTAGGGAAACAACTCCGAGATGATCTTCAGCCACCCAGAGCACTGCAGTAAGTACTACAGAGCAAAGAGAGAGGCTTTCTTTTACATTTTATTATTGTACATTATTGGTTACCCTTCAGCCAAAGCCGTCTTAGAAGAATATGATGAAATGCTACATTTGTCCCCTGCTGATATTCCCAACGTGTTTGGAGGCTAAGATATACTGGGAGGATGAGTGAGTGAGTGAGTGTGTGTGTGTGTGTGTGTGTGCGCGCGCCTTGGACTTTGGCTTCCATGTGTTTTCAGGAATATACAAAACCGCAGAGCCACTCGTGATACTTAGCTTTGCAATGCAAAGGAAAAAGCATCATTAAAGCCTAATGACTCCATGTTGGAGCTAATGCCTAAATAACATGACTGATCATGAGTGAATTATTCCTACTTCCTATCAGTGAAGCCTTTCACCTAGGCCTGCCCAGAAATTAGGCAAAAACATGAAGTTGACCATTGTTTTTCCTTCTTTTCCACCTGACAGCTCATACACTCTTAGTTGCATTTGACTTGCAGGGATATGGCAAGTTAAGTAGGCTGTTTGTTGTGTGCTTATGACCAGAATGCCTTTAAACTGCATGTGGCTTCCAGAACCATGGACCCAAATGAGGCCCCTAGAGCCGAAGAGAAAGAAGGGGGGCGGCTACAGCAAAAGACTCCCCCAAACATCCCAGTGGCTCAGAGTGTGGATCTCTGGGTGACAATTAGCATCTGTCTTGCTCTGCCATTAACTAAGTTTCTGTGGGCACAATATTTAACTTTCCTAAATTTTCCTTTCTGCTCTTGGGATACAAACCATCTATGTAAAGAGGAGCCCTTAAGTACTGGTCTGTTGACCACAAGGTTAGGGTTCAAACCCACCAGCCACTCTGGGAGAAAGCTGAGACTCTGCTTCCATGAAGTCTTGGAAGAAGTTCAGCCAGAGTGATCCTTAGAGGCAGGGATGGGGAGACTTCGTCTTATATACTTTGGACATTGCAGTAGTTACACACATTCACATCAACTTGAAGATATAGAAGTACAGGGGCCAAGTCTAGCCAGTCAATCACATCACGGACTAACAGTGCCTCCTTGTAGGCGTGACCTTCCCAAAAGGAGGGACCTGGGAACCCTCCCCCCCCTTTCTGCCTTCACTTTCCTGCTGATGAGCCCTGGGGATGTGTCCACTGCCATTGGACCCACAAGACTTTGCACCCACTGGCTGGCGATGCTCCTGCATTCTGAATCACTGCATGTGGCTTTGTGAGTCTGAAGAGGGACCTATGGACTAGTATCAGACTTATGTACTTGAATTGGACTGGGATGTTTTATTGCTGCATAATTACTTCTTGATTTAAAGCTCTCTCTTACACATAATGAGTGTCACTGGATTTGTTTTTCTAATCAATCCGGTCAAACACAAACATGTTGTCAGGAGGGAGTAGTCCCGGAGAAGGGCAGGGAAAGAGAGGGGTGGGCACAGTGGCTGCCTCCATGGGCTCCAGCACCAGAACCATGGTGCGCATTTGGCGGGACGGGGCAGGGCTTCCTCCTGCCGCATACAGAGTCGCTATGGGTTGGAACCGACTCGATGGCACCGAACCACCACCACCTCGGTGAAGGACACACTTCGGAGACGCCAACGAGGGTGGCCGTGAGCTGGAACCGACTTGATGGTAGTGGGTATCTAAAGTGCTTGGCCAAAAATGAGGAGCTGCTATCAAGGGCTCAAGTAGAAAGCAAATGTTCTGAGAATGATGATGGCAACAATGGACAAATGTGCTTGACACAATGGATGGATGGATTGTGATAAGAGTTGTACGAGCCCCCAATAAAATGATTTAAAAATAATAATAAAGTGCTTGGCCAGTGTTTGATGAGCACTCAATACACTCTAGCGATTCTTCATGTGGTGACCAGAACCTTCCTTCACAGACTTGTTTCATTCTAGTTGGTCTTGACCCTGTAATTTAACTCCGAGGAGCCCTCGTGGTGCAGTGGGGTAAGCATTGGACTAGTAATCTCGAAGTTGATGATTCAAACCCACCCCAGCTACTCCCTGGGAGAAAGAGAGTCTGTCTGTTCCCAATAAGAACTGCAGTTTTAGAAATCCCAAGGAGAGTTCCAGTCTGTCTCTTAGGCCTGCTATGAGGCAGAATCAACTTGGCAGCACGGCAGTGGGCTTGGTTTGAGGTAGAGCAAACAGGGGGACAGGAAGGCGTGCTCCCAAAGATGAGAAGTCATCAGGAGGAGGCCCCAGTCTTCCCCTGCTCTCACTCCACCGCACTGATGTGGACTCCCAGTCAGCCCACGGGGCAGAGTGGAGATGCCTCTCTGGGTTTCTGACACTCAGCTTCATCTTTCTCCTGTAGAGCACACGGCTGGTAGTTCTGAACCTTGGACCTTGCAGTCAACAGCCCAACTTGGAACCCAGGACGCCTTGAAGGAGGCAGGCGTGCGCCCAAGACCTGGTCTCAATCCTGCATTTGGTCAGCTGCTGCTATTTTTTGGCAAGTCCAAGTCCTAGGAAAATAAGGACCCAAGAGAAGGCAGTTTCTTATCACTGCAAGGCCATGCCACGTGCTGGAAGCCAGCCTCTTACCTGGTTGCTTTTGCCGGGGTTTCGGCAAGTTCGTCACGCAGGTGTGTGGGCACATGAGGATATTGCAAGGGTGCAGAGACCCCTCCAGGAAGAGCTGCTTTGTCTGAGAGATATGAATCCCCCCGAGGGGCGTTTTGGGCAACGTATTGGCAGGCACCAGAGCAAGACAATATACCCCGACTTGATGAATGCTGTCAATTGCCTAGAAAAACATAAGGGGAAGCAGTCAGCTCGGAGAGTCCCTGCACGTTTGACAACTGCCATTCTCCTCTCGGCGTTCCTTCTGCCATCCATTCCAGGCGCAGTCTGCTGGGCTATGATCGCGCACATGCACACGCACGCATGCCTGCACGCACAGAGCTCATGTGGCAAGGGGTTGTGGGAGTGGCTGCTGCCCCAAGTGAAGCGTGCAGGCAAGGCCCTTTTGCCTTCTGTAAAACTGGGCAAGAGGTTTGGGCGTGCACACTTTCACCGCAATTTTTTTTTAATTAAAAAGAAGTAAGGTTTCATAACTAAAGATACCGAATCCTTCCTTGCTGCTGTGGCTGAGATCAGTGGGAAGGCAGGGGGAAACACAGTGCAAACAGAGAGGGAGACAATGATTGGTCCCTCCCAGTGATGATGTGAAAAGTCTACAAATCGGTTTTGGTTCTTTTCATCATTTTGCTGTCCAAAATAGCTCAATTAAACAGACAGAGTATGAGGGGGCTTTAAAAACTTCCTGGAAAAATTCCATTATCTTTCCATCCCATTTCCCCAGGGGCTTTTGGAAGCCTTCCCTTATATTTTTATAAAGAATGTAACTGGCGCTCTCCCATTGGGTCCCTGCCTAAGTGGCGGCACCATACATCTCCTCTGCAAACCACCCGGGAGGCCCACTCACACAGACCACCGGAAGCCATGAGCTACGCTCAGCGCCGTGCCCGCTGCTCCGGCCATGGCACTGGAAGCTTACACAGAGCACCTGTGTTTGTGCCTAGGCCTGCGTATGTGCCAGTTCCCCTTGTTACTGTGTTTGCACAACTTAATTAAATATTGTATCAACTGGCAGACTATGCGGATAAGAGAGAGAGAGTTACGCTTGGGCAAGACGTGCTGAAGCAGGATTTCTGAACAACGCAGAAGCAGAAGAGCCACACTGCTAAATGGGATGGACAAACAAAATGTAACGGTAAGGATTATGCATTCAACTCCCTGTTTAACTACCTGCGTTCTCGTTCCAATTTAGGGGAAATGAAACCGGAATCGAAGATGACATGCTTGGATGCATTGGGGGAAAAAGTAGACTTGGAACTAAAAATCTGTTTACATACAGAAAAAGGCTTTACATACGCTGAATGGACAATTTTATGTGTAATGTTAACATTTTGTCTTTGAGGAATTTTCTTTCTTTCTTGTAATTCTCTGTTTCAGCCACTGTTTAAATGAACGGACCCACTCTTAACACCAGTTACAAACAATGAAGAGGGTGCCACTGGATTACCCATGAGTCTCATTGAGAAGGAGACAGAACCACAGGGGAACTGATTAGTAGTCCTAAGAGACATTGATAAGGAACAGTAAAAAAGGCAAAGATAAGAAGTTCGAAAATTGTATTCGCTAGTCTACCCTACCAGAAGCCCTGACAACAGTGGGTTTCACACTGGGCTGCTAACTGCGAGGTCAGCATTCAAAACTGCCAGCTGCTCCATGGGAGGAGGAGGAGGCTCTCACCCCCGTAAAGAGTCAGTCTCAGACACCGCAGGGCCAGTTCTGCCCTGTCTGTAGGCTACTGTGAGTCAGCGTGGACTCCAGGGCAGTGGGTTCAGTGTTTGGTTGTGAGCACGAGGACAGGAACCCCGGCGACACAGTGGGTTATGCACTGGGACGCTACTGCAAGGTCTGCAGACCAGCAGCTGCTCCACGGGAGAAAGAGGAGGCTGTCTGACCTTGTGAAGAGGGACCGTCTTGGAAGCCCTCAGGAGCAGTTCTGCCCTATCCTACAGGGTTGCTGTGAGTCAGAACCAATTCGCTGTCAGCGCATTGGTTGGTTGGTTCTCAGCCCAGAGACGACTGGGAAATGAAAAGCCCCAGTTTCCAAGTGTCTGGTATTTAAGAGTAAGAGAAACTGAGCAAAGGTATTATATGTAGCCGAAACTCCTTGCTGAGACCACAATAGCTGCTTAAATTCTCTCTCTCTCTCTCTTAATTACCTTTCCTTAGAAGGTGCTGAGTCAGGTTCTTGGTTTACATGATACAGAGACCTGGAATTAAACCAGCTCTGGGCTCTAACCTAGAGGAATCATATGGTATTCTTCACTTCCCTACGATGAATCCGGCTGAGACATTACAGAGACTGGGACAGTGATGATAAGCATCTGATCAGTAGGCTGGTGCTGCATTTAATGGAGTTGTTTTCTATGGAAAAACTGTAACAAATTATCTCGGGGAATTTCAAAAAACTCTGTTTTTCCTGCAGTGTGTGTGTGTGTGTGTGTGTGTGTGTGTGTGTAATTCACGTTAGATCCTACCTTGATGCCCCACTGTCTGTCCTGAATGAAACAAAGCGGTTGTTGAGTATGAAAGCTGCTGGAAGACAGCCTGCAGCTCTTTCCGAGAGCACCCATGCTTCCGTCTTCTACTCCGGGTAGCCCACACCAGCACAGCTGTTCCGCCTCCGGGTGGGAAGAAGTGCCAACATGACCCAAGCCTACCCCTCATCGTGCCATGTGCTTGCACCATTTCTACACCGGCGTGACTGACTGGAAGTTCGGATACTCCAAGTCTGAGTGGCTCAAGCTGAAATGCTGCAGGCCTTGGGAACACCTCCAGGACCCGAGAAGCTGCGCTGGCTGGGGCGCCTCAGGCCTCTCTTGGACCCGCCATCTATCCAACAGCTCTTTACGGAGTCCACTGAGGCCACCTGCTACGCTGCGTTCCCAGACTCCGGGGATGGCGCAGTGCACCACAAAGAGAAGTCTTGGTCCCCCCGGGGCTTAACTTAAAGCAAACGTAGCGACCAGTGAGTAACGATAAACCTACCCGGTGAGAAGTGCCAAGTGGAAAAATACAGACTGACTATTACTCCCTCCCTGCCATCGAGTCAATACTGATTCACGGCAGGCTACAGGGCAGGGTAGAACAGCCCGTCACTCTTCACGGGAGCAGCCCCGGGCTGGTGGTCTCACACTGCCAACCTTGGGTCTGCAGCCCACCTCGCCACCTCTATGCTGCCACGGTTCTGCAGAGAGCAGCAGGGATGCTGCTTCAAACAGACAGGGCCTCTCGCGCTAATCTTCCTGGAGATTATACTTGTGGTTATTTTTGTGATATTACTTGTAATCACCACCATCCTTTATTGGATGCAAAATTACATACTTTAAATAATTATTTCATTCCTCCAACTATTCTGTAGGATAAAATGATTTTATCTTCACTTAAAAACAAAACCAAAAGACCCAGTCGCTGCCCGGCACAGTCATGAGAACTCTGTTTGCCAGCGAAGACACACACACACACACACACACACACACACACACGAGGTTTTCCCTTTTCAAGGTTGCGGCCTGCTGGAAGCTGGTTCCCTGGGCTTTTCTTTGGATTTGCCTCTGGCTAGAAGCCTAGGTGATGTAGCAGTCACAGACCGGGCTGCGGTCTCCATGGTCCGCAGTTCAAAACCACCAGCAGCTCTTTGGGAGAAAGACACGTCTGCTCTCGTGAAGAGCTATAGTCCTGGACACAGGGGCAGGTCTACCCTGTCCTATAGGGTCACTAGGACTCGATGGCAGTGGCTTTTTGGTGGGGCCTGAACGCCCCCCCCCCCCAATCATTTCAACTAGCAGTTAAGCACTTAACCAGTTGTGCTCTCCCAAAGAACCTCCCATTGCCGCTTGACAAGGGGGAGAGCAGCTCAGGGA